TCTACGTTCTCATTCACAACAACCTTCTGAACAGAATGCCTTCATATGAGCGGGAATGCTTCCAAACCATGCTTCTTGCAAAGTGTGAAAACGGTAGGCCATCTATCACCGCGGTGAGAAAAAAAGAATGTTATATCACGACTATACTGCAAGATACAATGTCGGATGGACCGTGTATCCTGGTATACAATAAGAAGGGTCAAGATGTACTTCTGATAGAAGTTCGCAACACCGTTCATGGCAGGTTGGTAGCAATTAAGATCGAGAAAATATAATTTGGTGGCGAATAAACTCAGGGCAGAGATGAAAAAATGCATACATTTAGCTGAATTTTTTAAAAACAATAATTTTTTTTTGGATAAGTGTAAGATTGGAATCTGTATTGCTGGCAATGCAGCATGGCATGAAATGCCAAAGGCTTTATTTACTGAATACAAAATTAGGCGAACTTAATTTTATTTGCAGATATCAGTCAAGTATTAATTAAGATAAAGCTTGAATAAGTGAAACAGTTGAGCTACTTAATTTATATAATGATTATCAGATTGTTATTATCTCATAATCTTTACTTTAAGAATAAAGCTACTCAATCATTTTGATTTTTGGCATGCATTTGAACAAATACAAAACAAAATCAAAAATTTTACACAGTACTGAAACTGACATTGATTCAAATTAAAACCTTGATTCAAATTATGACTTCAGACATAATTACAACTATTTTATTTCATTTCTCGTATTTAATCACAAATTTATGAATAATGATTAAATATTAAATAAAATTTGCATATTCATTGATTAATTCAAAGCTACAATTGGAGTTTCGAAATTATTAAAAAATAAAGCTCTGAAATGAGTGAAAATTACAAATTTAAAATTCATTTTAAATTTTCTAAAAAAGAAATTTTAAACTATTATAGTGACAAATTTGGTAGTAATTGCAATGAATACATAAAGCATGAAGGAAATTATTAAAAATTGAATTAACTTTATAAAAAAGTTCAAAATAAATGTAAAGTAAAAAATATTTTCAATAATTCAATAATTTAATTATAATTAAAAAGGAGTACTGGATTATGTTATTAGTGTTAAAAGTACACAAACACTGATTTACTTAATAAATTATTGCGAATTATTTTGAATGATAATTATTACGAATTGAAGTCACTACAATTTGACAATTATTTGGAAATAGATTCTATTTTCAATTATTTTTGAATATTGTGGTTTAAAGTGATTATGTAAAAATTACTATGAATTTAAAAATACTTCTAAATATCATAAATTAAAAGTTATTTAATGTAAAGTTCAACTATTTTGAAATTGAAATGTAATATGCAATTGTATAGAAATCTATGAAATAATAATTCAATGAAAAATAAATTCATACAAAATGTTATGAGATAAAAGGCTGAATTTTAATAACTTTCAGAACTTTTAAATGATAAACAAAAAAAAATTAGCACTTTTTATAGCAATAAAATTCTGAATTACTTAAAATTAATTTTTTGAATATGAAAAAAAATTCAAGCATTGGCTTTGCAAGTAATATCAATAGTTTGGAGCAACTGTTTTCATAAATTGTGCAGTTTAATGTTTTTTTGAACTTTGAAATAAACATATGTATGTTGTTAAAGTCTGCAGATTTACAAAAGGATATTTTTTCAGCTATAAAAATTAATCCAATTCGAATATAATGTTTATTCGTGTATATTTACATAAAAATATTTAATAATATATCCTAAATAAATATCTAACATTTTTAAAATTTTGGAACTATTTTTATTTATGTTATTTTTTGACTACCTTAACTTAAATAATATTGTTACATATTTTATTTATTATGAATTTTAATAAAATTTACTAATAATTAGTAATCGTTGTGAGTTTTTCAAATTGCCATTTGATTTTTTCGGTTTTAAAATTTCATAGATATCAAAAATTTTCAAATTTAAGAAAAGTTCATGCCTATTCAAAATTTTTTAAACTTGATAAAAGTTTAAAAATTTTTAATATGCATGAAATAAGAAAAATAAAAACTTTAATATAAAATATTAAAAAATATTTCAAATCTCAAATAATAACTTTAATAACGTTAAAAAATTATTAAACTAAGTTTCACAAAATAAAAAAAGTAAAAAAAATAATAAAATAAGTAAATGTTTTTATTATAAAAACAAAAGAGTTCTTATTGCGAATATATATTATAATTTTAATGAGCAATCAGTGAACAAACAGAACTCGCAGTAATATGTTATTAATGATATAATAATGATCAGATTATTATTATTATAAATCATCAAAAAATAATTTTCTCAACCTATCATTTAGTTATAACATTGTTATTTAAATAATTTTTTGCAAAGAAATACTTTTTCACTTATGTTAAAATATTTTTATTTTATTTTATTTCTTTCAGTAAGCTAATCGATTTGTAATAAAGTATTGAAAATGAAAATGGTTTAGGATTTTAGAATTAAAAATTTTATAATTCAAAAGTAAAATGAGATTAATATTCATTTTCAATTTAATTAATCAAAAAACTTCCACTTATTCAAAAAATTAGCAGTCTTTCAAAATAATTGTAAGTCATAGTGATAATAATAATAATAATAATAATAATAATAATAATTGTGAAAATAAAAAACATTAACATTACTGCTTCTTAGATAGACTGCCACCAATTTTTACGTGTAGTTTTTTAGAGTGTATCCTCAAAAAAACACACTTTTCCACTTCTTCTATTTCATTCTAGTAAAAAATTATAAAAAAAGAATCTAACTCTAATTAAGTATAAATTAATTAAGAATGAATCAAGTATAAAATTTTTTAACGCCAATTAAAAATTGTTTTAATGATATAACTACTTGTCAGATACATAATAATTTTTCACATCCAATTTTTGTAGTACCTTTGAGAATGCATATGCTAATTTTTTTTCATTTTTTGTCTAGACTAAGTATGAAAATCAAAAATGCACTACCAATTAAATATTTTATGTGACATGAATTAGATGTTTGATGAATTCAGTGCTAATTGCTTTTATATTGCTTATTTGTAATCACGATTTATAGTTCCAATTTATTATTGAAATATATTCATTATTTTTTTTTGAATTACATTCATTACTATATTCATTTTTAGATTTATAAGTTAAATTATGAATAAAATCGAAAAAGGCGTTAGTACAAAATAGAAAATTTGAAGTAAATTAATGCTAAAGTTAATTAATTTACCTAAGTTCACTTTGACTTCTTACTTTTTGCTATACTTTACTTGTTTGGTTACTCTCTTGCATATTACTTCCATTTTCATTATTTCTATGGTTACCAATAATGATTTCATAGTAAATTTCAAATGCATAAACTCATATTACTTATTTTCTTGTTTGTTTCTTATAACAAAACTTTACTTTCTTTAATTCTGAAATATCTACTTTTTAAAATTTTGAATTTTAAAGATTGAAAAGTAATTATTTCCTTTAATATTTTAGTTTTGACTTATTAAAAACTTTAACCTTTTTAATCCGTTTTTGAAACATTTTTATCACAATTTATGCTTTTCCTCTTCAATATTTGATTCGAATAATTAAAATATTCGAAAAAAATACATTAAGTAGTTGTTTTTGGCATATGTATAAGATCACATTTTATTAATATTTTTCAGCTTAGAATTTTCAGACAAAAAAAAGTATAAAAAAAGAAATAAATTGCTAAAAAGTTATACACAAATGTATTAAAAATAATTGTTAAGGTTATTTTAAAAATAATTTTTAACGTTATTTTGTTTAATATACAAAAAATCATACTTTTTGAAATTTTTATTTTGTATTTTTACAGTTTTTTCTCTTCAATATTCGATTAAATTATTTGTTTACATATATAAAACAAATTTACTGATCGCGTGCATTTTTTCATTTTTGAAATTAAAAAAAATTTTTTTTTTGTATTTTTAAACACATTACTTATGAAACTTCATATTTCATATTATTTTTATGGACTTTTTATAGCAACGTATGAATATTAATGTTTTTTACAATTTTCAATTTGCCAAAAAAATAGTTAATTTATTTATTCGAATTTAACCTAAATTCTAATTATTTTTCCAGTAATATTTTTAGCGCCAAAAAAATTACATTTCAAGCGCCAAAAAATCACTTTTTAAATGGTTTTATAGCTTTTTATTTTAATGTTTGATTCCATTTTTGCATACCTAGCAATAAAATTATAAATTAAATTTATTTAAGACTGGAAATATTTTTTGGATAATTACCAAGCTAAGAATAATTGTATTTTTGAGCTTTTTGATTTTTTTTGTGGATTTGATTTGAACATTTTTAAATATTTTTATGATATTCAGGTTTTTTGTTGTAGGGATATTTTTGAATCAATGTTTTTTCACTTTTTTCATATAATAAGCTTTAGATTGATAAAAATTAAATTTGAATATATCAAAAGATAGTCACTGTGACTAATGTTTGATTACTTATTACTTTTCTGAAAAAAGGTAACGTGTGTTTTCGTTAACTTTTTTCCTTGGCATTTGACACAATAATTGGTACATATTTGTTTTAGTTTTAGTTAAGTCAACTGAAATGTATATTATTCTTTAGGTATTACGTTTTTTAAGTGTATCTTTTGTGAAATTCTTTAATAAAAATTTTCTAAATATAGCAGACTTGTTTCACGTAAATTTAAATAAAAAAGGAACTTGAGAATATTTAAAATTAGATTATTTGAATAATTAATATTTAATGACAGTAATTAAAAAAATTTTTCATTCAAATTAGCTGTATTTACAAAATTTAATAAGCAATTTTTTCATTAACTATTAGTCAATAATTTTTAAATATGCAAAAAAAGACATTCAGTATCTATTCATAATTTAGGTCCGATAATAAAAATTCATATTTGCAAAAATAAATTATTAATAACAAAAAGTATGAAGACAAAGTAAGTTTGTGGTTGAATATTAAGTAATTACTGTATAAATGCAAAAAAATGGGTTTATGCCAAAGTCAAGAAGCTCAAGAGCAACTTGCTCGAAACAAAGCAATTGAAAGACAACTCAATCAAGATAAACGAACTGGATCATCTATTGTAAAGTTACTTTTATTAGGTATGTTAATATTTTATACTTTATTCATATTATTCATATTCATATTATTATTATTATTAATTATTAATTATTAATATCGACAATATTAATATTATTACTATTGCTAACAACGCTATTACTTACAATTTTGCAATATCAAGAAACTTTTAGATTGCATTTTAAACAAATTAAAATTTTAAAAGACATAAATAAGCGCAAAATTATTATGGAAAAAAATATTTTATTGCTTCAAAATTATAATTTTCAAAAAACGAATATATGCAAAATTTTTGAAAGAATTAAAAAAAGATTCATATAGAAATTAAAAATTTTTCATGGCGACTTTCTTAAATTAGTACAAAGTAAATTTTGTACAAATAATTCACAAATAATTTCAAATTACTAAAAAAAACCGACTTTTGCATTAACAAATTATAAAATAAATAATTTGGAATAGCTAAAACTTAAATAAGAAGTCGAGCAAAGTTTTTGAAAGCCTAAATAAGAAGTCGAGCAAAGTTTTTGAAGCATTTTTTTTACTAATCCCTTTTAAGTCATTAAATTTGTAATATATTACTTTTACGTTACTTTTTATTTTTTCAAAAAAAATTTATTTGCTTCGCTTATTCGTTAAGTTCATTACGTAAGTGCATATTAAATACTCACTTTACTAAATTGCTAAAATTTTATAATTTGTTATACTTCAAAATTACTGTGCAATCTGATTTGAATTTGGCATATTCTGATGTATAAAGGCAATAATAATTTTAGCCATATTTGAGTTAAATTATTTACAAACTTTGCAGATTAGGGAAGATCTCATAAACAAGGCAAAATGCTTAATAACTTATAAGTGAATTTAACTTTTGATTAGTAATAATTTTACGAATATTTTTTTATTTAGAGATTAGATTTACTAAATTTATATTTTAAAAATTAGTTTAAGTATTCTTAAGTATTATAATTATTTGACTATTAGCATTTTAGGTGCTGGCGAGTGTGGGAAATCAACAGTTTTGAAGCAAATGCAGTAAGTCCTATAAAATTGGCATGATTTATTTGATTTTATAATTAAATTTTCAGTATATATAGTCAAGCTGACGTCATTTGTAATAATTAAAACTCAATTTTATTTTTTTAAAAGTTCTTTTTAAAAGTATTTGAAAAGCAAATTTATAAAGTCTAATACTCATGGTATTTGTTGAAATTAAAATTTAATTTAGTTATACGTACGTTTATGCAATTGCGTTGCATTTACTTGTAACGCAATATTGCATAAACTTGATTGCATGCGCAAATTATTTTAGATGCTCTTAAGTTTCAAAATTATTATTCAGATTATTAGAGTGGATTTAATAATTTTCAATCGGTACAAATTTTACGAAAAAATAATAATATATATTAGAAATTCTTTCATTCATAAAAAATTCAAAAGATAAATCATTGTAAAAACATTTCTATTCCAAAATTCTTTATTTCACTGAAAAACAAAAATTTTTATATAATAATTGGCATAATTAATCTTATTAAATAACTTGTAAGGCAATTATGTTTTATAGATAAAAAATTATTTGCTAAAAATCTTCAAAAATATAAATATGTGCTGATTTAATAATGATACTTATTTTTATCTATGCCAATTTTTTATTTGGCAACTATAAAATTTTAGAAAATTTTAAATTTATTAAAAAAAAATCTACGCAAAAGTCGTGATGTAGAATAAATTTTAAAAAGTTTGAATAAAAGAAAATTGCATATATTCATATTTTTTCAAAATTATTCCCTCTACACAACCAAATTTAAAAATTTATTTTCAATATATTTGCGCATGCATATTTTAATTAAATAATGCTTATTCATGCGCATATATGATGTATTTTTTACATATGTAAATTTTAAACATAATTTTTTGCTTGGCAATTATACCAATTATTTTTACAACAACTTTTTATATCTTTTTATAATTATGCAAATTTTTTCAGAATTCTTCACAATAATGGTTTTACTGAAGATGAAATCAATGAGCGTAAAGCAGTAGTGTACAATAATACAGTAACATCAATGTGTGCAATGTTAAGAGCAATGGATAATATTCTTCATCTTCCTCTGAAAGATTCTAATAAAGAAGTCTGAAAACTTTAATTTTACTTTACAACTACTGAATTCATTTAAATTAGCAAATAAAAAACTTTCCTAAATATTAATTTGAAAGCTAAACTAATAATTATTGACAACATCTAATTTAATAAAAGAAAATGCAAATTTTCATGTGTATTAAATTTGAAACGATGCTAATTTAGAAGCTAAAAAAGAAAAATTAAACTTACAAAATATTTATATCAAAAATTTAATTATTATCTTCTGCTTTTGCACTGCCATCAGCAATAACGACATAGATGAACTGTTTTGAATCTAATTTTTATTCATTCTTTTATCACTGAATGATATACTTTAGTTAAAAATCAGTTAGATTTATAAGTTATTGATTGATTGATTCTTTTAGTACGATCAATTACTTGATGGAATAAAATCTTAATAGAATTTAGGTGGAAAAAAGAAGGATTTATGAAGTTGTTGAAGCTGGCGATGAATCTGAACCATTTACAGATGAAATTGCAAACGCACTTATATCGTTGTGGTCTGATGAAAATGTTAGGAAAGCATATGAAATGCGCAGTGAATATCAACTTAATGATTCTGCAAAATAGTTAGTAAAAAAGTTTGAATTCTAAAGTTATTATTTTCTAAAATTATACAATTATGAATAGATTTTAATTACTTAAAAACTAATATAACCAAGTAATATATGCTTAATGAATGTTAATGTATTACTTCAAAAGTTTTGAGCAATACAAAATAACTGAGTTTATTTCAATTTAGTAAAAATAAAGTAATACAATATAAAAAATACGCATGAAATATTTAATAAAATAAAAGAAAAAAAGAAGTATTTAATAAAATGCAGCTTTATTCAGTATCATTTAAAAATTTTGCAGTACTAGTTATTAAGTAATTCTGTAAGCTCAGAACTACTTTTTTGTTTAAAAAAATAATGCAAGTCTACAACAATTTAAATTATAGCTTTATATATATTTTATTTTAAAAATAATTTAAAAAAGGATATAAATATATGATTTAAAAATTTAGTTGAATTAAATGGATGAATAATTGATACTAAGCAATGAAAAGAATTTATAAGTATTAAATACTACATAAACGAGTAGATCAAACAAAAATTTGCATAAATTTAATTGTTACTGTCATCAAATATATGATTTAATATCAGAAAAAGTGGTTAAAATTGTGAGAATATCAGTTATCAATTAAAAATATGAGATATTATGATGGTTTTTATATTGTAAAGTATATCTTTACTTGTTATTTAAATTGTATTTTTATAACATTTTGTAATATGATCTCTGCTGCATATCTAATTAATAAAACAATAAGAGAAATAAGCATATGATAATTACAACTGTTGATTTAATTACATGCAAATTATGCTTATATTTTACATATGTTTTTTTAATATGACTTTGTAATACTTTCAATAATATTTGATTTTTAGGTAAATTTTGATTATAATTAAACAAAAAAATTACTCAGAGAGTCAACTGAGTCTTTTTTTTTTTTGCAAATAATAAAATATTTACTCAATATTTTTTAAAATTGATATAATACATACCGTAATTTACAGATAAGCAGAACGTATACAGTTTTTAGTAATATTTTTTATCGTTAACAAATTCTTTAGCAACCATAAAAGATACATATATTAGTTAGAAATAATTTCTGAAAACAATAAAATGAAAATGCTCATACTTATGGGACTTATTTTGTTAGTGAAAGGAAAATTATTTCGGATTTTTAAATCATTATCTTTTTATTATTTTATAATTATTTATAAAAAATTATAAAAATAACTTTTGACTTCTTTTGTTCTGCATTTTTCAGCTTTTTGGATTCAGTAGCTCGCATACATGAACCTGGTTATCGACCTACGGAACAAGATATTTTATTTAGTCGTGTTGCAACAACTGGTGTTGTAGAAGTAAAATTTAAAATCAAAGAACTTGATTTTAGGTTAATTTTTTGAATCAATCAATAAATCACTTCAACTTTTTAACTTTGTATAGCTATCACTTCTCACTTTTTTTACAGGTATAATTAATAAGATAAGTTTTTTTCTAAAAAATTTTATTCTTTAGGTGAGATATTAATTATTATCACAGTCATGAGTATTGATATTATCTTGTTTCACATTGAAAAATTAATTTGAAATAATGACGACAAATGATATCGTTTTTTTAACATCCATCTAATCGGTATTTTTAATTTTATCATGATTAAACAAGTGATTATTACCACGCAAATATTATTAATTAAGCACATAATTACTGAATGTTAATTACAATATTTAGCCATAAATAAGTATTGTTATTGTTTAGTCAGCAACACTAAGAATATCATTGTATACTTATTATTAAATAAAGTAAAATATAAATAGAGTATTTGATGTCGGTGGGCAACGATCAGAACGTCGAAAGTGGATTCATTGTTTTGATAATGTAGAATCAATTATTTTTATTACGGCTGCTAGCGAATACGATCAAGTACTTTTTGAAGACGAAACTACGGTAAGTTTTAAATTTAAATTATCAGTTCACAATTAAAAATTTGCATATTCAAATAAAAGATTCTCATTTTGTATTGGTACTTCCTCTTACAAATTGCTTGCACTTAATTAAGTCAATAAAATATTAATTCAAATTTTTTGCTTATCTACAAATTTTCTACACTAATTACTAACGAAAAATTTTTCGTTACGATGTTTAATAGTTTAAATTGTTCTTATAAAACCAAATTATATTGAACAGTTATTATTAAGTAAAGTAAAATATAAATAGAGTAATTAATTAAGTGTTGGTGGACAACGGCTAGAACAAAGAAAGTAATACTACATACATTTATTATTACAACAAAATGAAAAAATGCTCAATTTTGAATTAGAATTTCACCCTTTAATATTCTTTATTAATTCCAATATTTACTTTATTTAATTATAAAGGTAATTAAATTATTTAAGTTATAAGTAATTTTAATAAAGGAATAAAAATTTATTAAGTAATTAATTAAGTACAGAATCGTATGATCGAATCAATGCAATTATTTTCATCCATTTGCAACAGTACATGGTTCCTCTCAACTGCAATGATTTTATTTTTAAATAAAAAAGATTTATTCGCAGAAAAAATTCGACGTGTCAATATTACTACTGCTTTTCCTGAATATGAAGGTATGTCAGTATTATTAAAATATATTATTAACAGAAAAAGTTAAAATTTATATATAGTAATCAAGTAATTTTAGAAAGTTATTCAAATATTTAAAGTAAATGCATATTTTGTACAAGTTATTTACATTCACAAATAAAGTAACTACTAAAGTTTCCTTGATCAATCAATGGTATGTTCTAACCAAATACTCAAATATTAAGCGTGAATTTTGAGGCAATGATCAAAAATTCTTCTAAATATATGATTATAATGGTTTTAGATCTGAGTAATATGAGAAATTCTTACTATTTTGGGTTTTTTTTAAAAACTATTTGATCATTTGGATTAACTGATTGGTATGCGAAAATTTTAGCATTATTTTTACTTCACTTTTAAAAATTAAATTAACATTTTACAAAATGATTCGTCATTTCACAAATTCAAAATTGGCAACTTTTTTAATCTATGCTTCAAAAAATATTTTCAATTAAACGAAATTAAAATTTACATCTGAGGTCTTAAAAAAATAATTTTGATTTAAAAAAGATTAAAGGTTTTATTATTTTCTAATTCGAAAAATACGAAAATAATAAAATTTATTTTTTGTAAAAGTGGCATTTATGATTCTAAAACAATAGAAGAATAAAGCGGGAAAATATTCGAAATTAATTCAAAATAAAGTTTTCAATATAAATCTAATAAAATAAAATAAAAATTATAACGTTTGCTTCATCTTCACCTTTAGAACGTTTGAGTATAACTACATATTTATTTGGTATTTATAGTAATCATAACAACAACATTTTTTAAATAAGCAAACATCTTAAATTGATAAAACATCGGGCAAAAATTTAATTTTTGTTAAACTAAAATAAATCAAAATCTAAAATAATTGAGATTATCGCAAGTCACAATTTTTTGAACTTAGATAAAAAATCTGTGTCCACCCACGCTCATAAAACTCTTTTATTTTTAACTTATAATTTCTCAAAATAGGATTACTTTTAAATTTTAATCACTCATTATTCAAAATACTCTAATTTCAAAAAATGAGTAACTATAGCATATTCCCTGAATAATCCACCCACTATCACTAATATAATTGTTTGCAATAAAGCAATATGAAAATACTCTAAATGTTATCCATAACTTTAATATTCAAACTTTTTTACTTTTTCGTTTTCTAATTTCCTCAAATTTTAAATGCTAAAAATACAAACCTCAAAAGTTCAAGTGACTAAAAAAATATTTTAATCTAATAATTAAATACTCAGTTTAACTACATCAAAATTAAAGGTTATTTTATAAATTCTAGAATTTCAACTAATTAAAATATTGCAAAAAAACTAATGAAAGTTTTACAATTCATAAAAATGCTAATTTTCAGGTGGCCAAAATTATGAAGAAGCGATGAATTATATTAAAGTAAAATTTAGTGAACTGAATTTAAATTCAGATAAGAAAACAATTTATATGCATGAAACATGTGCAACAGATACTAATCAGGTACAACTGGTTATATCAAGTGTTATTGATACCATTATACAAAAAAATCTGCAAAAAGCAGGAATGATGTGAAGAAATTTACAGTGCTACTGAGAATATTTCTTTCGTGATATTTACTTTCTAATATTCTGCAATAAAATGTACTCAATAATTTCACTATAAAAAATGTACCAAACCACTCAATCACAAAGACCAACAAAATAGTACCTTAACTGATCTAGAGATGAATTTTAGCATAGTCACACCTATTATAGCTACTCTTCACATCAATTCCACCCTTATTTGTTGACTATATACTCATTATTTGAAAAAATTATTTTTTCGAGAGTTCCGTTTGAGTGTTAATAATGAACTGTTCCAAAGATACGCCATGCACAAGCAACATTTATCGCTTATCTGCATTTGTATATATGTGACAACATAGTATAAAAACAACAAAGCAAAACAACAACAAAGCAACAAATACATTCCTTAACTTCAAACTGCTTTTTCTCTTGGAACCGAAATTATGCAACTTTGAAAACTTTTCTTTAAGATATGTTAAAATGAACTGCAATTTTTTTACTGAAATTTTCCAACTAGTCAGGTAGAAGACAATATTTGATGCTCTTCGAGTTTTTGTTTCTTAGTCAACTCTTGGCTGCTTGAAATAAGGACTTTCAACTTTTTTCTATACTGCCTTTTTGCTTCTGTTTCTGAGATAACTTTCTTTTTTTCTTCAGTAAGCCTTTCATGGTTAGAACGTGCCCTTCTGCAGCACGTAACAGTCCTTCTTTTGATTTATGCGCCTGCTCTCGTTTCTCTTTCAACATACGAATTTTTTTCACTTTTTCCTGTTAAAAGCAATGAAAATCAGGCTCAGCTTCGTACTAGAAAACACAACAATAAAAAATATGGCAGTCCAAAAGAAAGACAACACTAACCTGCCTCCGATTCACTGATAGTCGCAAGTTATTACTCTTTTTTGATTTATCGTTAACTTTCTGACCAGTTGTCAACTTCGTCTCTACAAATATTTTATTGCAATTACAAAGTATTACAAGTCTTTATCCAGTAAAGTAAAAGTGAAAAAATGAAGTTCATGAAACTTTTCGAAAAGGGTGAAAAAAATGACAGCAAAAAAACAGTTTACAGAATAAAAACTGCTGTCAAGAATTGACATGAGACTTGACATATACGATTCACAATTTTAATATATTTTTTTATAAACTTTTACCACATCAAAAAATCTTTATTTAAAAGTCTTTTAAACAATTTTTTTATTGGAAAAAAGATATATTTACTTTTAGTACTCAACACTTTGACTTCACCATCTTTGTGTACCATAACCTCCATTCCTTCTGGTAAAGTAGATAATTCACCAACAATAGCCATTTCATCTCTTTTTGCCTTTATATCCTTCATTTTTAAGGGGCGAGACAGTTTTACAGCATTCCTTCTTCCTGTAATATAAAGTAAATAGAAATTCATAGAAGTACAATATCCGATTTGCCACACTTACTCGAGTAGAGATAAGGAGAATAAGACTAAAATCTAATGCTTGAATCAGCTTACCAGTCTAACATATGACTTAATTTGTTAGATTAAAAACCAATTCTCAACATCCTGCTATTATTATGCTTCTTGACATTTTGCATATGAAACAATATAATTTTCAAAGAAAAAAGCATGAGACTAACCAACACTGATATAAAGAGGTAATGAAGATCCACCAGTTACCATCTGAAGACTAATAGACTGAATGTTAATGAAACCACCAGGACAATATTTAAACACACTCTCAACAGCGACGTGAACATTTTCAACAAGATGTTCCATAGGATTACTCAGATTTCCAATGCGAAGACTTCTGAAAATTAGGATTAAAAAACCTCACGTACGACGTTCTCTGCGATTTATTAAAACGCTCAAGTATTTCAAAAATTTGAAAATAATAAAGTTTCTCCAGTTTATAAACTACATATAAGTTGAATCATGAAAGTCTCATGAAAAATAAATTTGTTCATAACAATGAAACATTACACGTAAAACTTACATTCGAGTACGGCATGGAGAAAATGGAAACATAACAGTATAATATGATCTGTTAATTTGATGATTGAGTGATCTATGTCGACCAACTACGAACCTCATAGGTACTCTACAAATCATTTCTTCAACTGCGAAAAAAAGAATTCTTAATTATGACACAAATAAAATGGTCACAATAAGGTAATAATCGCAAAATTAGAAACCTCAAGACAAATCAACCAAGTCATAAATTTGTAATAAGAAACGCATATTTAAATGCGATATGTGAGAATTTTCAAACAAATGACTTTAAAAGACCGTTATACAATTGCAAACCGACTCTGAAATTTTTATGAAATATACTTTTTTGCTTTATGAAAATCTTTGCCACAAAAACGTAAGACGCTTTTCTCCACAATAGAATCCACAAGAAATATGTCATATGCAGATGCCAATTGACGTCTTTCTTGATATGAGTGGTACACGCGTTCCAACTGTCGCTTTGTCAAAACCTGAAAAAGTTTGTTTCTAATTCATATAAAATGCTGCTTCGACGAAGACTAAAAAAACCGCAACTAAACTTTACTACCAAACATCACTTCATTAAATCTTATTTTTAGCTCTTTGCAAAATAAAAGAGTTACTCCCAATACTCCAAACGTAACTCAGATTTAAAATATGTTTCATGACTACTAAGAAACCTTATTAAAATGCTCCTTTGTCAATCCATATTCTGTTTCCAATTTATCAACCCACTCTCTGGCTTCTTTATCAACATCATGATCACATTTTCCTTTTAACGGATGATCCAAATCCCGCATAATAAGGCAAACAGTTGTATTGCCTTTCTCATGTAATGGATGTGGTAAAACACTATAAAAGAAGATTTAAAAAAGTATTTTAAAATATCGCGACTTTCCATCTACAGTTGCATAAAATCTATCAAAATTTTCAAAAAATTCTCCACCGAAAGTTAAAGATAACTTTTTAATTATTGAATAATTTTTCCTTGTTACTGAAAGAAGTACCAATAACATTGCTAGAGAGTTGTCTGCGTGAGTACTTACAAAGGCATTCTGAACAAGCTTAAGTAAGAAAAGCTAATGCTTAAAATACCTGACTATAGAGTATTATGATGCTTATTATAGATATATGTTGCAAGGTTAACACGTGGACTCAGAATTTCAAGTAAACTTAACGTTAAAACTAGCAATAAATCTGATTCTAACCATGATTAGAAATTAAGATCCAGATGTAATATATCCATTCCATAAAACGTTCATAAAAATTTGAAAATAAATATGAGCTATATTAAAAAACGAACATTGGTTTGGAATGATGCCCGAAAGATGAAGCATCTGGCTTTATATAAACAAACTGAAGATGAAGTAGCTGATCAACTTCCGGAAACAACATTTTTACTTCTTTTTTCTTTATCTGCTTTAATAATACATTCACTGCTTCTTCCGTCTACAAATTATCTCAGATAATTGTAAAAAGGACACTAAATTCAAATGAAATAATAATAATAATACCTAGGTGAACGAAGTATTCTATCTATAAGTGCACTAGGGTCCAGTATTACGGAATCATCAAGACAATTCAATAACAGATATACCAAAAGTAAAACATGCCTTCGCATCGATTTGTGCCAAGATTGCTAATTTCTCATCTTCAGCTTTACTCAACGATATTCCTGAGGAAGAATCATCAGACGAAACACCTGCCTCCACATCCTAAAAATACACTATAATCACAGTTGCTATGGACACATAAAACTAATTTATCCTAGACAGCTGTAAAATAATAAGTCATCATACCTGGCCACGCGAAGGATCACTGATTACCACCTGTTGCATTCTGAAAGATGAATTCTTATATATCAGATAAAGTACAAACATACGCGGACTTTTATTAAAAATCCACTCAGTATCAATTTTATGATTAATTTATTCTACTAACATTCATAGCACTAACAAAATAAATGATGCGCAGTACGCAAATCCATTTGTGACACAAACGCCAAATCTACGGTATTTTGAGATTAATATTGCATAAACAAAAACAATCTTAATCCTTTATAAACAACAGACATCAAATAATATTTCCTGTAATTCTGTACACAAAGAACTTTTCCACAAGTTAAAATAAAATGAAAGGATTGCTTAAGTTGGCAAATTAAAAAGTTAGCAAAATATTTAGACAATACTTACGACATAACGGAAATTAATTATTGAGAATTTCAAAACATTAGATTCTTCAGCTCAACCTCCTTATTAACTGTGCGAAAATTCCAAATTTCATTTAGTGCGAATAATAATTAAGCATAGCAAACATCATAATAAAAGGCCATGATCACAAATTTTCATTTCTTTTTGCTGCCTGCACGTATACTTTTAGGATAATCTTCCGGTTCCAAGTTTTTCACTGAATAAAGTCGAAGCGCCCGTTCTGATAATGAACCACCACATTTCAATCCACGAACTGAAAGTGCGAATACATCACACATTTTAATATAATTATGAATGGTTCATAATTCACAAAGTTTGCTTCAACTTAATTATATAAAAAATAGTGCTACAACTCATACATTCTAAAAAATACCTTGAAGAGCGTGCTTCAAATGATCCAGGCCCAATGATTCCAATTGTTTTGCACTATCATAATTGGTCAAATCGACATTTTCAAAATCAGCAGCTTTTGCTTGCACCTTACTAACAGTATCTTTTTTTTTAGGAAGAGACGACTCTAAAACGATGCTTATTGATTGCCAACTTAAAAGAAACAGATATGAATAAGAAGTGAATAACGAAAATTATATCGAAGATTTTACAAAAACCTTAAGGAAAGAATACCTTCAAACTTGTTTATCGTACTAGATAAAGAATTTTCAACAGCACAGTTTATAGTAGTGGCCGCACATTTTTGGGAACTGCTATCACCCAAAACATCGTCTCTATAAAATAAGATAGTTTTTACAAACACACTCACGTACTCGCTAGGAAAAAAGCAGTTTCCAACGATTTGAACGACAAGACCTAATTTTTTAATACTTGGTCATTTTTTAAATCCAATAAGGACTGCTATCAATTTTTAAGCTGTTAAATGGAGTGAACGAAAAAATTCACTACTTCCATTACAATCTTGATTAATATAAAAGATTACTTTTCATTTTCCAATTTCAACTTTTTACATTCATTTGTATTCTCTACTGACTCTTGCTTGCGTTTATGCAATATATTCTGTTCCAAGTTACGATTTTCAGCCACTTTGGATTCCTCAGGTTTGGATGAAGCAATCCCCTTCATTTTCTTGCTTTTCGCTACAGCCACACCTAAATACAAAGAAATATCGTTTTCATTAAAGCAAAAATTCTTTTATGTCTTCGAAATTTTGCGAAACATGAGTAGTTTGAAGATAAATTACTCACTCGTTATCTGTTTAAATCAGATTAAGGAGACCCTTTTCATAAGCTTTGATTTTTTTGCTATCTCAAACTTAGGATTAAAAACTGGAGTGCTTTCGCAAGATTTTATTCAATAAGATAGTTTCTTAATCAAGCAAATTTTTGCTAAAAATGAATATCAGAAAAAAACAAACAAACTGAACAATACCTGCTTCAAATGCCTCATCAGTTTCTTCTAAAATCTTTTCTCTTGTCGCAATAAATTCAGGATCATGAAAATCATGTTTCCGAGGAGCTCCTTTTAATTTTTCATATTTCTCTTGTCTAAAATTTTTATGTCTACAAAATAGATAAGGAACACATGAAAAAAGAACAGTTTCCCAAAGACTTGGACCACAAGCTTAGGTTTATAAAATGCGTAGTTATTTCTTAAATCCAGTAAAGGCTGTTAAGCTGTCACATATAGTAAACAAAAAAGCTCACTACTTTAATTAAAATCTTGATTAATATAAAAAATTACTCTTAGTTTTCAATCTAAATTAAAGTAGGTAACAAAACAATAAGAAATCAGTAGACAAACTTCTGACGTCGTTTTTCTTCTTCCCTCTCACTTGCCTTCTGAATCCACTTGCGGAGTCTCTCCTCTTCCTTAATATCAGCAAGTCGTCTTCCAGATAAATCACGACACATCAATTGATTTGTTGAGCGATGAATACGAAATGACCGAAGTAACGAACCAAATCCTTCAAATAAACTTCTTAGAAATGTGAGAAGCAATTATGAACATTACAATTAAAATTCCTTAAAGATATTTTCTGGTGAATTTCTGGAAATTATATTCATGGTACTCAAAACATGGAAATAGTCAAATAAAACTAAAAAACTACACATAAGGTTTATGATTTTAACTTATTTTGAAACTCAGTATATGCAAATACTGCGTATGCTTTGCAAAATTAGCGTGCGATGGATTTTAGGCAAATATAATATTAAAAGTAATGGTAAAATGCACACTTACCTCCTTTGCCTCCGCGAAGTCTGAAATGAACTTGAAATGGAATATTTTCATCCAAATTTTCCCAGTCAACAACCTTTCCATTAACCGTTACATAAAACGAATCTTTCGGTAGCAGACTTAGCTGCGCAATAGTCCGAAAAGTAGGATTCATTATTGCTCTGAAACAATAATTATATAATTAAAAACAAAACTAATATAGAAACAAAACAAATGAGTATGAGAAAATTAGTTTAATACATATATAACAAATTAAAAAGATAGATTAATCAAAATATATGCGAAAAGACAAAACTAGTGTATATAAAACGTGCAAAAATCATTTAACTATATTATCACTTTAACATTAAAAAACTTCTGATAAAACAATTCCTAAAGCTTATAATTCTTTAAATAACAACTATATTATAAATAATATAGATAATCATTTGATTATTGCTCCAAAACGACAAATTACTTATTGGATGCTTAAAATGACGCGTTATTTACTTGAATACTACTTAAAAATGATCAGGTATGAATACAAAACATAAAAATCAGATCAATATAAATAAACACAAAAATCGATGGCTCACTTCCCAAAATCATAATTAAGCCACAAAATGAATAAAATAAAAATATAGTTAATAAAAAAAAGACAGTAATGATAGATTCGATAGAATGTAATAACTCAAACTAGGCTTTAAAATAAACCTTCCTTAACACTTGCTAAGGTAAAAACAAGAACTTCAGAACAAACAATAGCTGTCAACTGACTGCACTTTAAGTCATATGACAATAATTTATTCCGACCAGCGAGTAACATACTGGGAAATTTGGGATGAATTTTCAAACCTTTTCGGCCATCCGCAAATTACATTGTTTGTAGTAGTGTGCCTGAAATTTGCGCGAAAAACAATTGGAAAGGAGAAAAGGAATTCTTAGGTTTTCAATGTGTTTTCATCGAGAGCTATTGATTGATCTAGTATGGTGCTAATTTTAACAGTTTGATCGATAACCAATATTGATTAAACTGTTGTTAGAAGTTTTTGAAGACATTTTTGCGCTAGTTATTTGAATACACAATCATAATTAAATCATTAGCTTTGTTAAACGAGTATGGGCTTATTTACCCAAATGATCTTGGATCCGTCAAATTTTCAGACTATCGAAAGTTTTAATTGGTGCGACGATGTACTCTAAAAAATTGAAATCTTTGCCATAGTTCATTCAGCAAGATATAGTTAGATGGATCGCGGATTAACTGTGTATCGACATTTTTCATACTTTAAGTCTTATTGACTGTACAGCTAATCTCCAAAAGCTTTGCATGTAATATACTATCAGGTCATTTTTAGAAACTCATGATCATAAATAACCGCGGTGATTTCTTATAATAGATCAGTATATCAATATATCCCACCGAGAAATCACCGCGATTATTTGTTTATTTATATCGTTTTGTCTTTAAATAATGAAGTAATATGTTTAAAGGACAGATTGAAAAAACAAAAAGTTTAAGGTACATTTCATGTCTATAAATTGTGCGTTAAACTTACAATTTGATCGTTGTAATAGATTATTAAGTGGTTTCGTTCAGATGATCAAACTTAAATGATATGAAAATAGAAAAAAATATTATTTTGAAAAATCATATAAATAATTCATTTTCTAAAAAAGTTTTTACCGAGAAATTTGATTCTATCAATGTTTTGGATTTAAAAATGAAGCTGAATAATTTTTCCAATATATTGCTGTAGTAATGAAAAGTGTGGAATACAAGGTGCATATAGTCATAATTATTTCCCGGCTTATCAATTTTCAGGTAGATAGGAGATCTTGGTGATCAGAAAGAATAAGATGGTCTTATCTATCATGACCAACCAGTGTTAATTATTTATCACTTTTAAAAGTAGCGTTACAAGATAACGATGGTATGGTTTCTGAGTTTTATGAGAATATTATTATATACTTTGTACAGAACAGATAATTTTACTTTATTATGCATATTCATTTTCTTATTGATATTATATTTAAGATGGCAACACTATATCAGCATTTAGCACCTAACGATCTATCAGCTACTTATCAGTTTCAAGAAATGCAAGCGTTACCAGCTCAAAATTTATCATTCTCACCTCAGTCAATGCCTTTCACGCAACCTCAAGGCACTGTATATTTTCAACCGCCATATATCTTTCCAAGTGGATTACCTCAGATGACAGTTGGCGAAATGTTCAACATGCCTCAAGCAATGGAAAATACTTCAATGGAAATTGTATCTAATGATAATTCTCCTTTACAAGGTTTGCATTGTTTTTATTTTGTACATTTTTAATCAAATTCATATAACTATCATAATTATTTGAACTTTGGGCTTATTTAATTTCCACGCATAATTTTAAATTATTTTATAGCTACAATGTCGGAAATGCAAACAAATGCGATGTATTATCCGCAACCCCCAACACTCACTATTCCGTTCTCACCTGCGATGCAAGCTTTGCCATATATTAATCAGTATATTCGTCCTGGACCAATTCTTATACTTTTACCACCACCAGTTCCAGATGCCTCTACACCAGTCAACCCAATGCTACAAGTACCTGTATCATCTACTTTTAAACCAGGAGCAGCAATACCAGCACTACCAGCTTCATTTGGATCTTATCCACATTGGTCAACGACTAGTGCTACATCTCAAAGTCCTACTTTAAAAATTACTCCGCGAAAAGAGGCTTTCTCTATGAGTAATAAAAATTTCGCTTATTAGAAAGTGTTTGATGCAATGAAGTCAGTCAATGTCATTATTGTATTTGAAGTGATTGCACTGAAAATTTTAATCCCGAATGAGAAGATGAAAAATTTCGTAGATGAAAAGTAGCGATTTTGCAGAAGAAAATTGAGAAACAAGTGCGATAGTTATGAGTTGATATACATTTGTCAGAAATGAAATTAAGTTATGCTGATTCTGTAGTGGAAAAAGCCAATTCTAAAGTTTAAATTTTATGCTATTAAAATTTCAGATTTGAACCAAGCACCTCACAAAATCGTAAGCATTGATGCTTCCAAGAATTCTTCGAAGGAAAATTCTGTGAGAGAAACATGATATTGCTTTTTTTTTCAGTGCTGGACTATTATTTTATAAGAATTACGACCTTCCTTCAAGCCTAAACGTTTAAAATCTCAATCAAGCATGTGCATATTATAGTATAGTAAATTACTTATTATTTATAGAATCGTAACGAATTGATGTACAGAAATAGATCTGGTGGTCCATCGTTGAATAACTACCGTACTAAACTTTGTATTAATTTTAAAAATGGTCATTGTTCGTACGGAGATAAATGTCGATTTATACATCAACAGCGTACGTTTTCCGTTTCTGTATACAAATTTAATTGATTTTCATCAAATACAGTTAGTTTCTCAGGAGTATGATCCATAAACTTACCGAAAAAAATCAATTTTTTGTGTTATTAGTTTTTACATTTCCTATGCTTCAGCAATAGATGACTCAATGAAAACGAAATTCTCTACAAATGCTCCTGCATTCGTACCCAGAGCCAATTTGTAAGCTTTCAAAACATTCATAAATATTCGTTTATAAAAATTTTGTAATGAGGAAAGAATTTTGTTTATAAAGATTTTTTCACTGTTTATTATATAATATTGTAAATATTTTTCGCTTGAAGGTACATATTTGAATGTAAAATAGATTGAATTTAGAATTCATACTAAGCAAACAAGCCCATCAGCTTCAGTTGAAGTACCTGCATCTAATCGTTTGTATAGTTCAACTCCTGTATCGTTGCTAACAAAAAGTCCAGCAAATGGATTAGATTTGAAGGAAACTGTAGCGACACCAACAAATCGTCGAGTTTCATATCGTCATGATTTCAGTGCTGGTTATCGACGACCTTCCGTAGCAGATGGACCACATCCTCTACCAGCATGCTGATTTCCTATTCATCATCAACGATTCCATTTTAATTACAGAGCAAGATCTTCCATTCGATATTCTTATCTTGTTCTCAGATGAATTGATCAGAGCACTGTACAAATATTCTTTTACATGGACCCAATTTATGTTTGGAATTTACTTATAATCTTTTTTTAAATCAAATAAATTGTCCCAAATTCTTTTCATTTATTGAGAATGAATGATACTTGGTGCATACATAATTATTTACAAATTATTACTTCATTAATCATTTTTCAAGATTAAAAAAATGCTAACTGATTGAAAGGTCTCTTTGTGATTCAAAGCACATCTCTTTTCATTACTCAGTGTCAGTACATGAGATGATCGCTTTAGATATCTCATGTAAGTCCATTAATTGCATTACATTGGAATGTAGCTTTGGTTGTTTGAATCAAATTGATAAAACTTATTCAGTCGGGTACCGTAAAAATGCACTGTACTTTACAAGTTATGACAGTTTTTCCATCTATGCAAAGTACTACAAGTTAGATTCGAACTATGTAAATGAATTAGCTAAACATTTACATCACAATTTAATAAAGCTTAAATTTTGAATAATTTCGTAAAGAGACGCAAAATTGCAGAGTATAACTTGGTCGGTACTAGCTTTATTTCACATATGATTGCTAATATTATTTAGTATGAATGAACCGTGGTTGAGGTTGTAAGAAGTTTGTAGCATTTTTATGGTAAGAAATTGGAAGAGAAAGTTGTAAATATTTTCTATTGATGAAAAAGTAGTCTGAAATCAGTATTCTGGTGATAGTATTCAAAAGATTGGCTAAAAACGCAGAATTAAAACGTGTACGAAGTAGAAGTAAGAGAAAAAAAAGGATTATCAATGGATCAAGCATTAAATTTTTGTGTTCGTGTTGCCGTTGCTACTGCTGCTTCAGTTATTGTAATGAAGATGGTATTAAAATATGTCGATCCAAATCATGCTATCAATAAATTAGCTAGAAAAAAGGTTAATGTTTCAGTTAATTTAAGACTTTTAATTAATAATTATTATTTTACGAAAAAAAATTAAACTTTTTTAAATAAAAAATAAAAAAAAAACACTATTGCTATATTTTAATTTTAGAATGAATGAATTTGTCGCGCATTTTTTTAGTAACGAACAAATTTCGTTAACGCAATGAAATATTTTTTAGTTTTGCATATTATTTTTTATTAAAATTGAGTTTTAGTCTTTTGAAAGTTTTGTAAAAGAGTTTTGTTTTATTGTGTTCAATAGAAAAAACAATATCATCATTTTTTGGATACTGGAGTGAATATAGTTTTTAAGTACTTTTTATTGCCCTTATTGCAGGCAATACAAGTTATGAAGGCTCTTGGATTGGATCCATCGATAGAGTTAAACGAACATGAACTGCGTATAGCAACACAATTTGTACATTGTGATGACGTGAGAATCATTTATCACTTTTTCATTGTTTGCTTCAAAATTTACAAATGTATATTTACACTTTTTATTACTTTTTTCACAATTGCTTGACAGTAAGTTAGGATAGCGTACTTTATTGGGTATTCAAAGAAATTGATTCGTTTTTTAAGAATCGGGTTGTAATGAATCACATGTATAGTATAAGTAATAATGAGTTATTGTATAAAAGTTTTGAAGTGTAAATCGTTTTGCACATTTGAAGTATCGTATTATCTTTCAAGATTAATACAATTATCAGATTTTAGGGTGCCGATTGGTGTGATATTGGTGGTTGTCGAGCAGTAATTGAAGAAATTAATGATCGGATAATAATTCCTTTGAAGATTCGTAATGTCTATAAGAAGTTTGCGATATCATCAAGTCTTTTATCACCACCTAAAGGTTGTTTAAAGTTGCAAAAAAGAAAAAATTAACCCTAATCAAAATGATTATACAATTGTAAATGACTCATATGATATTTCTTTGAATTATTATGATTAATGTACTTGGGAATGTAATCTATATTTTGCCAAAAAATAATTACAGGAGTGCTTTTATATGGTCCGCCAGGATGTGGAAAAACTTTGATTGCTAAAATTATTGCTCGAGCAGCGAATGCTCGTTTTATTAACCTTCAAGTTTCATCACTGTGTGACAAGTGGTATGGTGAATCACAAAAGCTTGCGGATGCAGTTTTTTCCGTTGTACGCACTTTCTGCTTAATAATGATGATCTGATTTCGCAAATTAATTAATAATATTTTGTACGTTTGTATCCTTGGAATTATATTTTCTCAAAACTGCGAAAATTGTTGATATGGAAATTTTAAAGTTTTAGATAAGATGAGTAAAATGCTTATTCAAAGTTCCATTTTTTTCAGTATTTAGTTTAATTTAAGGCTATAAAATTTAATGATTTTTAGGCTCAGAAGTTCCAGCCTACGATCATATTCATCGACGAAATTGGTAATTAGATTAATTTTTTATTTCGTTTTTACTTCTATGTTGTTCTGATGTTTTTGCTTTTATAATCCTTATTCTTTCAGATTCATTTCTGCGAGACAGAAACACTCAAGATCATGAGGCTACTGCAATGATGAAGGCTCAATTCATGTGTCTTTGGGATGGCTTTGCATCATCAGGTTACTTAAATGTATAGAAAAGGCAAAGAATCCATTTTTTTTGTATTTACGAAAAAATTGAAGTAAATAAATTACTAGTTGGTATTAGATATTTTATTGCTCTTTCAGATGATGCTATCGTCGTGCTTGGAGCAACAAATAGACCAAATGATGTCGATAGCGCTATTTTACGCCGAATGCCCGCACGTTTTTATGTTCCCTTACCTGTATGATACTCTTTTTTCAATTTGTAAAGTATCTGAAAAAGTGTAGCACCTTTGCTTTTAAATCTTTTTAATTCTTTCAGTTCCTTATTCTGCTTTGTATCATTTCAGAATTTAGATTCTCGGATAGACATATTAAGGGTTTTACTTAAAAATCAACCTGTAATGCCTGAAATTGATTTTGAAAGAATAGCAGAATACGCCTCAGAATTAAGTGGTTCTGACTTGAAGGAAGTTTGTCGATTGGCTGTTTCTTCACGCGTGAAAGACGCGTTTCTTAAAGGAGAGGACTTGTAAGCTTGAATATTTATTTTTAATTGAAAAATTTACGCAACTTTAAAAGCTTACTTTATGCTAGTTTTTGAATTTCGAGTTGAAATTTTTATTAATATTAAAATTAATCCTGATGGATTGCTTGATTATAGTTGCTTAATTTGTAGAAATGACGAAAATACCCGGATAGTTCGTGAAACAGATTTAATGCAGGCCGTAATAAAGTATAAGCAAACCACGCAAATTTCTGGTCTCAGGGGTCGAACCTCTTGATTGATACGAACTTATATTCAACTTTTCAATCTATGGTCAAGAAATTGATGCATCTTATTCCTTGTTGTCTAGAGTATCCAATTTTTCTAAACATTTTTCTCTCCTATAAATTGATATATAATTGAGCATTTCATGCATCTCCTGACCATTTCAAAATGTCATAATTTAATTTTACTTCTATAACGTATTTCTTTACTGTTTCTGATCTTCAATATTTATCACGTTATTTAATTTTAGTGCAGTAAGAATATGTCTCTATACTGCACCATTTTATACGGTGCAAATGAACTTACTGACTCATCTAATTAGAACTTTCGATTTTACTTCAGCGTTGATAAACTGTGAATATTTCTTATGCCCCAACTGCAAGCTTTGCATAAAAAAATCACAAAGCTGACATGATTTTGTTGTTTGTTTTGTTATATTCATGACAGTTAAAATTTAGTTAGATAGCTGCTTTAAATGTTTTCAGAAGTATTGCTACTGATGTATAGCTCAGGCTTGTTATTACTGACTAGTGCTCACTGTTAATTTATGTTTCCGAAAATTCTCGGAATCAGTGCTTGTTTCTCAGCAGCATTCTTTGTATAAACGGGTTTATGTTATTTGAAAAAAAATTTATTCGTATAGGAAAAAACATTCGCATAACTATGAACGTAAGAAGTGGCATAGTATCCGCAAAACAATCTAATTTAATAGACGAAATAAATAACCTGAACAATACAGGAGATCTTTATTTTATAATAGATTCTTAAAGACTTGTCCGTTAGAACTATATCATTGGAAGATTGGATATTTTTTGTAACTGAGTAAGATCTATGAATTCGCGAATTTCATCAGGTCTTCAATGTCGTCTTCCGTCGAGTTAGGTTGTGAAATATTGAGTATAATTTCATGTTTTGGCTCCTCCTCTCTTCAATAAAATGAATATTAACTTTGTGAAAATTACTAGATTAAATGAAAAATGACTAATTCAGTGTTCGTGTGAAATTATAACAAGCATTCTTATTAACGATCTTAATTTGTATATAATAGTTACTTGTTCCTTTTTCCTTCATGAACTTGGCGTGACAATTCGTAATATTGGTTTGGATGGGTTATTACAGTACTCATTGAATTCTCAGTCATTTTGTGGGCACATTCAAAGTATCGCGTGCAAGCTTTATCATATCGTGCACTTTTAGCCAAAGATACAATCTGGAAAATAATACTGTGGCTATTATGTTCTTCGTTTCTTGAATATTATTGTGTGACTTCAACATATATATATATATTAATTGCTGCTATTTAGATGGAAATTAAGAATTTATTTACTCTAATTTATTGAATTATTATGAGCATTCCAATATATAGTTAGGTTTAGATTTCAACTGAACTTTCAGTGAATATATTTCTGAAAGAAAAAAAATGAAGGAAACGAAACAAAACTTACAGAGTCACTCTGAGATTTTGTGAATCCCAAATTCTCCAATTTTTGGATAAGTAGCTGTGAATCACAATGTCTGTAAGGGCAACCTAAAAATATCTATTAATAATACATGTGGTTATGTTTAAGATTTTTCATTTAAATTCTAATTTCTTAATACTCAATCTCAGGAATTATATGAAAAACAAAAAAAAGCTTACCGAAGAAAAGACTAAATGCTGCATCGCTAATTTTCTAAATTCGTTACTTTTTTTATGGAGTAAAATTCGTCATTGAATATAAGTTTAAATCGACATCATATATCATCTGATGCAGTAAAAGAAAAAAAAAGATAGAAATACCATGGCAATCTCCAGATGATGGAGTTATATCCAAAATAATCTTCGTGCATGGATATGCTGCATAATCAGCATGTTTTCCCTCTTTACCATAATTGTGACGAATATTATAAGCGTACTGTTTTTCAAACTGAAAAATCTTGATCACTGATCAGTCACAAAAATTTATAATCAAATGATCATTACTAGATAAATACTTCGTCAATTTAATTTGTGTTGCAAAGTCCCATTTTATCCAATGAGAAATAAGAAATTTGCAGCGGATAACAACAACAATGCTTCTTATTTTTTGTCAATAAATGCAGTTGCCATTCTGATATTGAAATAGAAAGAGTAGAGTACTTTTGCAAATAAAAATTTGCAAATTTAATTTTTTTACTTATATTAGAATCTAATATTGATGCAAATCATGAACTAAAAGTTTATTTAAAATATTCTAACTTTGTCAGAGTCCATTTTTTTGGTAAATTCTGTTCGCCAGAAACACAATGCATCTTCTAATGTCATACCAATTGCCTTCAAGAACAAGCCATACTGCATTCGCGCTCCATGACGTAAATGATGATCAGCTCGAAGTCGATTATGTATAGTCCTCATGCACAGAGGAAACGAACTAGCAGCAAGCTTAATTTTTTTAACACGTGGAGTTTTTGTAAGAAATTTAATATTTTTAGATATAACAAATTAGATTACGAATATGTTTAATATTCTGGCTTCTTGCTTATACCTACAATAAAATTGTTTTTCTCAAAAACAAATTCGGATTCAGTTTTTACAATTATTCAAATACGATATGCCAAATCAAACACAAATCAATTTGAGATTCACGAAATCTATAATTTACGTAGAATAACCCATTCGCAAACCACGAATAGTCTCAAAAATATATTGTAGAGCTTATTTATAAAGTTTCGAATTATACGAATTCTTATCACTATGACTACTTACCTTTCAAAACCATTACTGATATTTTAAAATGTAAGTAATCACAGTGTAACTAAGCATCCATGTGGTACAACATATTTTAAAAATACAAAACTTACACAATCAACCATATTAGGTGTTATGCGGGAAGTATCTTTTCCAACGTAGTTTTTACCTACATATGATCTGCTTGATAGCTTTTTCAAAAATGGCATTAACCGATCATCTTCTTCAAGAAAAACGATATTTCTGCACGCACGCTGAAAACCAAACAATTACCCGAGTACATTTTTTTAGAAATTAGTTTTTCTTTCGAGAAATTAAACTTCATAAAGATTTGTGAAAAATCGTATGAACCTCTCACATGCAAAAACTTTATTTTTGTTGGAAAAAAAACTAACAGCCATTGCAGCAGCTATATTCAGACGAAATCTGGTACACATTATAACTTGAAGATCATCTTCAGAAACGTATGCAAAACCAGAAATTAATAAAACACGACGTTTACGTACTAAGTCAAGCGCATCTACAAATGGAACCTTCCAAAAATTTGTACTTAAAGCCTGAAAAACAAAACTGGAATAGATTAACATAAATATTGTTTTTATTCCGTCGTTTTCATTCAATCATAATAGATTTTTCTAAAAAAAAAATAATTTGTTTTTGAGATAAAATTACGAATATTTGATGAAACAAAAAAAATGATGCCTTGAAGAACTTAAATGATTAATAACAGCATATCGAAACTGTTCAATTATAAACAATAAGCTTAAAAAATTGAAAAACTAATGGGAACTCAACAATAATTAAATAGTCCATAAGCTATGAAATTTGATAATTTATGCGAGTTCAAAAAGTAGTTGAAAGATGAATTCCGACAATAAATGAAAGGAATGCAATTAAAGTTTGAGTGTAAAGTATAAAAAGCTTGTAAAAAAGACAAAAGATATTACCACTAATCTACGACATAAAAAGGAATTATTAACAAATAAAATTCAAATACTTTTTTGAAAATAATTTATTTTAAAATTTTTCGGCATAAAATTACTGTAATATTTCAATCACATCTTATAAAAATCTCTTGCTTCACCTTATTAAGAGGTATACAGCATCCATTTGAAAGATCTTCTTTTAGCAGCTGTTTTTCTGAATCTGCGATCAGTTGAGCATCAAAATTATTGCACTCCAAAAACTTGGTAATTGCATCACAATTTTTTGAAACCTACAAATTTCTCTTAAAATACGAATTAGATGGCTCGGAATAAAAGTCCAAGACAATATGCTATAAGCCAGACAACTTCTTCTTTTCTTGCTTTTCAAATATGGAAAAATTAGATAAATTTTCCAAAAAGATTAGATGTAAAAAAATGAGGTAGAATAATACTTGTAAAATACCCACGATTTGAAATCGAAATCGAAATAAATCCACTTCCTGCTGAATAAACCATTTAGTTTGTTCAGGAGTTTGACAAAATGCAAGACGAAGAATAAAATGTGATATAACATCTCGTCTTCTTTCTTTTTCTAATTCTTCAAACGGACAGCAACCACAAGCTATTGGCATCAATTTCAATAATTCCTCAAAAACAGCACACAGCTTATCTGAAGATACAATTTTGTACATAAAATCAGTGTCTCAATGAAGTTTCAATGATTGAAATACATTAATATTTATATTAATATATTAAAAGTATTATAAATAATATATTAACATTTAAATCACTAAAACTTATTGAGAAATTGATTTTATGTACATCAAAATAATATTCAAATCACTGAAACAATAAATTATAGGCCTTTAGTATTTCTGCGGCACTTTTTTAAAATACCTGTTTCACAATAGTATTATATTATTATTACGTTTTACACTAAAAATATTATTTATTCAACCGTGCAACGCCAAGATAAAGTGCTATCTTTTAGGAAGTTTTATTAAATAGTGTTATAAATACATTTCAAAATGATATCTATAATTCCTTATGATGCAGACCTCAATTTTTAGTCCATCTATTTAAAAATACTACAAATTTCTTACATACCATGCAGAATATTTTTGAAAAAACCAGAAGTATCCAAGATACATTTAATCATCGTTATTTGAATCATATTCACTATTTTACCTTAGACAAAGCATCATTTAGTGCTTCATTTGTACGTGGAAAGCGATCCTTCACTTGTTCCACAGCTTTCAGTACCTTTAACCTGTTCAATGCTAATTCTTGAAATTCAGCAAGTGAAATATTATCCACTGGTGGCACTAAATACATTTGTAAATTTAAGTCTTCCATTTTTTTTTGAACCTGAAAAGCATGAAACCAAGCTAATCTTAAAAAAAGCATGTTAAAAAAATCAGTACTGCAGCATATGAATAATATAAGCAAAACTATATATATGAACATAACACCTAGAAATCGGAAAACATTTATGTGTGGAATGATAACCTGAAGAACTGGCCTTCGTGCTAACTGCATCAAAAATCTTGGAATACATCTCGGACTACTTTCAAATTGCATATTCCAATAATAGCAAATTTTTGTTTGAAGCACGTATTTCCTGTAACCTGAATTGTTTCTAGCATACATTATTAAATTCATAGTTATAATGAAATCCTTATTCGGCAGATATTTCAGGATTCCACAAGCAAGCATATAGAACTACAACTACCAAAGCTTCGTTTTCACCCAGATTCAGAGAACTCATGACATGCGATGCCACGAAACTTTAACAGATCTCTACACTTACCGTACTACTAAAATTGCAATAACTTGAAGCTCCTACATACGTCGAATACACATGACATGCGATGCTATGAAACTTACTCTTACCACACCAGTAGTACCAAACGCCATGCTACAACTCCCTTATCTAACATCCTTTTATAACAGAAATCTCAGAAAATGAATTTCAAGACTTTTTCGTCAGAATGCACAAAATGGACAGTAAAATCACAGCTCCATAAAAGTGATAAAAGTCATGATTTTACATCGAAATTAATATTAAAAAGCCGAGGATAATATACGATTTTTCATCTTATATATGTAAACAATGAAAACGGAAAAAAAACGACCAGTTTTTTATTGCAATAAATATATTACCAAATAATGCAATAAATATATCACTAACTAATGCAATAAATATACCAAATCTACCAAACAGAATGGCAAACATCATTTGAATCATACAGATACTATAAATACTACAAATGTACTTAGCAAAATTTTAATGAAGTTTGGTCAGTAATGAAGATCAATTAAATTAATACCAAGTTAGTGTTGTTAAACGGCAACCAAAGTTTTTACTATGTAAGAATAAAAGAATTTTTTGAACTGACTAAACTTTCAGATATGAATCCTCTTTTGCTTTTTATTCAGCGATATTTCCCGGCTCTACTTCTAACAGTAGCAATTTATCCTATAAATCCAATAACGCAACAAAAATAGATAAATTAAGTTAATTACATATAGCGCAACAAAATACATTACTAGCGAAGCAGCATAAAAATTTTTAAGACAAATAAATTTACTTTTTCACTGTATCAAATGCCTTTTCAAGAAATTTTAATTTTATATTTTCTTGGAAAGACCTAATTTCTTCGCTTCTGATTCATAAATTAAAAGCCTCCACATTTTTACAACGAATACTTCTGCCTCATCATCCAAAACCTGAAACACGGTAACCTTAAATATTTGTTCGGAAAAATTATTACACGTACACATATTACTGATGGTAAATAACGCATTTAACATATTTCCACTAAAAGCTTTTTATATCATATTACATCCTGTTTCGTTCGTCTTCACAAGATCTAAATGATACAATAGAGAAAATATGTTATGAAAATTGTAAATTACCCCAGACTTTGAAATTGCATGATTTTAGACGACTGAGGTAATTGTTATTCAGCATATTTCTCAAAAATATCAAAAAGTTACCATAGCAATGTCAGAAAGAATTTTCTGTGGATCCGTTCTAGATGTCACTTTTTCACAAACAAAATCAACTAGTGACGCCTCTTCTTCCCCAATGTAATCTGTTATTTTTTTAGAAACCCACGGTTTAACCTATAAGAAAAAGAATGTAGCACAAAATAAAAAGCTCTCACACTTTTTTCGTTTTTGAAAACATTTACTATTTACTGATTTCAAATACTTTATTTCTAGACTTTAACAAATATTTACTCTTTGTTCAACGAGCGTTTTATCGACATAATTCCAGTTAATCGGAAAACCAAATAAATCACTCTTCGCAGTTGGAATCCGATCAATCAAATCCTTAATCATCTGCTTGCGTTCCTCAGAAGTCATAGACTGAATTCGGTCCTAAACGAAAACTGTGAATACTAAAAAAAACGAAAAAATATTTAAGAAATATTCAACCCAAATCATTACTTCTTCAGTGATTTCGAATGGTTTCAGTTTTTTTTTTCGAAATGCAGAGTCTTCATCATTTTCTTCAAAACCAAACACTCCATTCAAATTGGAACTTGTTGATGGGCGTATGGGTGCAATTATGTCCGTACGCAAAATAGCTGGGCTTGAAGACATTACAGAAGGTGAAGCAGTATTAGCCATGGGTGAATTGATAACAGGTGTTTCTTCACATGTGACTGAAAAAAGAGATCCTCAACATTTATGTTTTTAAGTTAATGATTCAGAAGAATTTTTTCAAAGTAAATAAAGATTACTATATTAAATACAACATCAAATATGTGTTAAAAAACAGAACCCGCTTTCCAGCTACTTCTTTTTTCAACAAAGTTATCTGCTTCTACCACTTCCTCAGCACTTCCTTCACTCTCAGAATCGCTTTCAGATTCATCACTTTCTTCATCTTTTTCTTGTTCAGATGGCAACGGCTTCTGACCCAGCGGTCGATGAGGGTTGGGACTTCCTGAGTCTGCTCGTAATTTTCGCAACAAAGCTTCTTCCTACATTTTATTTCATATTTAAAAGTACATATGTTCCATATTCAAATTAAAATAAACACCGCCAACAAGAAAGACAACGACATTTAAATAAGTTAATTTTATATATCAAAGTACACCTGTTCTTCATGACGTTTTCTGGCTTCTTCATCAGGATTTTCTACATTAGCATTTTCAGCCAAAATCTGCTTTTTAAGCTCTTCAATTTCTTGTTGCTCACGTTGTCGATCCTTCGCATCTGCTTCCCGCTCACGTTCAAAATCTCGCCGACGTTGGAACAATGATGAACTCCTATTTATAAACGAATAGAAATGGAACCATGATAGTAATTATTTTTTCAAGATGATAATTTAGAACATAAAATCATCCAGAGAATCATATTAAAAAAACAACTATCTATTCGTTGTGAAACTCAATGAATATTTTCCTTCATTGTCATACACGCTTTTAAGAGTTGACTTTAGCACCCAACTAGATTTACTTCAAATTTCTATGAATAAAAAAATAAACTGCATAACAAATTATAATGAAGCCCAGTACAAATGGTCCAAACAATCCAAAGCAGCAACTGTAAAAAAAATTTACTTGTAATATTTTTGATCCATGCGTTCATCATCGTAATCTTCCAAAAAATGTTTCAACTTTTTTGCTTCTTTTTGCATATCACGTTTACGCTGTTTTTCACGTTGCTCATCTCTTTCATATAATTTCGCTTGCCTCCTTTCTCGGGCTTCCCATTTACGCAGTCTATCTGCATAAGCAATTTCTTTTTCCCGAATCTGAATTTAGAGAAAAAGTAGACATTTCCTACATACTGTATCTCTTACAATGAAAATTGGCACTTAAAATATTATATTTATCACAAGTAAAAAAGGCTCAAAATACGCAGATAAAAATTACATAAATTCGGGAACAAAGTAAGAAACCCAGAAAAAAACATATGTATACCTGTTTACGTAAAGCTCTTCTTTCTCTTTGCTCATCACTATCTTCAGAATCCCGATCTCTGAAAATTAAATAATGTTTGGATTACGAGTAATAATATAGATTATTAGGATTGAAAATGAGTAAAGTTTGCCTGCTAGGTGACCGAGATCTAAATGCTTTTCGTGTGTGACTTTCAGAGCGATTTGAAAAGCTGCTACCCGTTGAGGAACTGCTACTACTTCGACTTGAAGCACTGCTTCTACTTGATGAACGATAATATGCTCTAAAAACTTTGTCATGAAAATAAATAAAAAATAAAGTCGAGGCACAATTTTTGAAGACTCAAGGACTATCGACTTCTATGCCTAAATTTACATTACAAATTGGAAAACATTAATTAGCATAAATAGAACTAATAAGTGAATTAAATAAAATAACATAAGAGAGAAAAGTTTACATTTTTAATTAATATACGAAACTTTACATTCAGGAATGAAACGATGAAAACTATTTGATTAGTCAACTCTAGAATTATAATATAGTGACTTTTGAAAAGTTACTTTTTGGCATCACCCCGTTCACTATCACTCCGAGATTTTCTCCGCAATTTATGCCTGATTGCACTTTCTGAACGTGAGCGTGAACGCGAACGTGAACGCATTCGACGCCGACTACTACTATATCTATCATCGTCCTAAAAGTTATTATGCAATTAATGTAATCGTAACAATTCTTACAAAAATAAACACTTGGAATACTATTATTCAATTGATACTCCGCGCATACAATGATAATTTATCTTACGTTCTTTGAGAAACAAAATCAGATTTTTTGCCCTATAAACATTCTTCGCTGGTGAATTCTGAGCTAGATAAAAATGCATGCAGCGAAATAATACCATAACTTACCTCCAACCAGTATAATTTTTTATCTCAGATTCAAGCAATATCGGTTCTGTACACATTTCATTTCGCACATAGATAATCTACATGCCAAAAAGAATCATTCAACTGAACAGTATAGTTACAAATAAGTAACGTTAAACGTTACTGTTAGTTAAAAAACAATATCAAAAAAGAAAGCAGGGTTCAATTTTACCAAAAATAGTCTATTAAAATGTACTTCCATTAAATGCACTTTTTGAAGAATGTAAATGTTACGCTTTTTTATACAACATTAGTAATTTGTATTAGTAATTTTTTTAATTTAAAGGAAATTGCAAGTATGCGACATTTTTTTGTTAAATTTGCAGTTGAGGACACACATACATACATACGACATACATCTTTCTTACGTTAGCCATCCTTCTTGATGCTTTAATATGGTAACATAAACTATTAGCAACCACTATACTATATTTATCGCTCAAAAAATTATTAGCAATTTATATTTTCACAATTTTCCTCACAATGAATGGAATTACTTAAAGGAGAAACAAAATTTTGCGAAAGACAGCACACAAATTACCGGCACAGCACGATAAATTATTATTTTCTATTATTTCATACTATTTGTACATGGAATTTTTTTCTACACAAAATTCCTGCTTTAGCTGCTTTACTTATCAATAGCTCATTGAATAATGTGCTTGTGAGAAAATAGAACTGAAAGCAAAAATGTTGAAGAATTTCCAGAAATACTAAAAAATACTTCATCTTGAGCTAAACTTTAATATATTGAAGGTTTTTCTTCTACCCCATTATCTGGTTTAAGAATCTGACCATGAAAACTGAATGAAAAAAATGGTAAGCCAAAGGATATTAATCAAATTTTTTATATCTTACACTAGTCCTACAGTTCCGTAGTTTTGATTTATATTAAGTCTCATCAAACTGAACATGAACTGCTCCCACCATATTTACATGTGTAAACAAATTTGAAAAGTTCCCAGTAGCAGAAACTTTTCTCAAACCTAATACTCAAACTGACTATCGCAAAAGTACAATTTATAAATTTCACAAAACTGATACTTCGCTTTATCTATCACATCAAGCTGACATTAATTTTAAGTCATCATGTTAGTTTACAATATCAAACAAGCGCTATCTAATCATCTACAAACTTGTAAAGATTTTCTCAAGCATAGCAAAATCAACAGTTTTTGAATGAAAACATGTATAATAAATCAAAAATAGCGTTTGTTTGGCCAATATGATCATGAAATGGTTACTTAAAACAGCAACATTTACACTTACCAGAGCGACAATTTTTTTTCTGCCATGTTGTGTACAAATCTGTAATATTATAAGCAAAATCACTATAAATTTTTGTTTTTTGTTGTAATTCTCTTGAATGTTGTAAAACAAATCAAAAACAAATAAGCAAACATGTGTGCCTGGAAAAAATTGCATGCAAAATTATATTATTATTTTTAGCTTACAAATGAAGTGGTAAAATATTTCAGTAAAATACAAGCTAATGTACAGGTTATAAATATAATATATGGCGAGCAATGAGGTTTAAATCCTATTAATTATGTAAAAAAAAGAAAAAAATCGGTGAATGCGATTTAAGCATGCGGTTGCTGATATTTTCTATATACACCAAATAAATATCTTGCATGCTTTAGCCAAAACCTAACATGAAAAGCAGATCTGAAGTCATGAATTTTATTATCAGTTTACTAAAATGCGTTCAATATTCAATATCAGTGAGAATAATGATATTAATAAATAATACACAAATGCTTTACCAAAGTTAGTACACAGGAATTACTAAAAGCCATGCAAATAATTTCTTAATGAACCATCTATATTTTTGATCTTATTCATACAAGTTTTTAATCACTAACAAATGACTGTTAATAGCAGAGAACACGAAATGAGAAATATAGATGAAGCAGACAAGAGAGATGCGGTAGTCAAACGACAAAAATCACACAAACTGAGATTATAACCTTACAAGAATAGAATAATCCTTGAATGACAGATTTTGATGAAGACAAAACAGCTCAATGTTTTGGTCACTTAATAAAATTTCTATACGCAGCAAAATGCATAGAACAAAACCAAAAACGGATAACATTACCTCAGGAATGAGAGTATGCACAAGTTAATAATAACATGTTTGTTTATTTTATGCAAAATTCATATTTAGATTAATTATTTAACAAATACTTTTCGATAAAGAAAATGGCAATTAATTGAACAGTTGTCTAACAAAATGTTTTAGTCACTTTATCATATATTTACTTATCTAACCCTACTTTATTTTAGAACAGACTGTCGATATTAATGTAGATTTAGCTTAGACGGAAACGACTGCAGCAACATAAGTAAGGAATAAGGTACTTCAGAAACTGAACGACGCAAGTAAATTTAAGCAATAAACATGTGGCACTGTGTTAGCAAAATCAGTTATTTATTAATTAGTATTATTACTAGTATTTAATTCATTTCTTGGAGGACTGAGATGTTAAAAACATATAGACAGAGTTTACTGAAATCACAGGCAATTTTAATTTGCAATGCTCAAACAACCTTAATATGACATCCTATTATTTATTATAAACAACCAACGATTTTAAATAACTAATAAAAGTTCAAAGCTTCAAAATGTAGAAAGACCTTTTTCATTATTTGTTTACCAAATGGCTTAATTTTCACTTATCGTATTATCATTTATATATGTTATTACAGGAAACGAATAGCAGAAAAAATTAATCTTTGCACATTAACTAGAGATTATGGAGATCTAAACTGTTCCTATAGACCAAAGAAACTGCTTGAATAGCTATTTTAAAGTCATAGTGAAGACATATTTGCATAATGCTTTTAATTTTAACATCAATAAAATGAAAATAAACATTGACGGACACGTGGAGGCTTTAGAAGCGGACAGCATAGCATTTTTTCAACGTGTGATACAGTCACTGTTGCTTTAAAGCTTTGTCTAACATTTAAAACGTTTTACAGATCTTAAGACTTCATTAAGAGAGAAGACAGATTAGTTGTTGTGAGGAAATAAAGGAAAATGGAAAATATGGAACTTACTCGTTTCCGAAATGCGTATTTTCGTTATCTCGACAATGTGCGTTTAGCCTATACAGATATAATCAAAACATACACCACTAACTTGGGTGTACCACTTCATTTACCATATTACAAGATAATGTTTAAATTGAATAATACTAACTTTTTTAATTCAAAATAAAATCAAAACTCATAAAATTAATAGGAATTAATACCTTTCTGTCTCTCCGATGATCACCACGATCTCGCTCTTTATCCTGAATAATAGGACATTAATGCTTATTTCAAGACAATGTTATAGAGTAAAAACCCATTCAAAAAATTGCCGAAAGTAAATAAAAGCACTCAAAAAACGAACCTTCACTTTATCAAAAAGTGGAGATCGAATCTTATCTGCTAATTCACCATCTACAAATATATTATCCGAATTAATTATTGATAAGTATATGTTTTCACATACGCAGCAAATGAACTGAGAGTTAAGGAATTAAAATCACTCACTGTTGCAAGAAAATCAACGATTAAAATTGTAATTCATTTATAGACATCTATATTAACTGTAACACCTCTTCTAACCTTCATTTCATTGTATTTGTATATAAAATGAAATAACTTAACCTTCGATCGGCAGCAAATCTGGAGCATCTTTTTCAATTAATGCTTGAATTTTTTGCCGTATTTCTTCATCGTCCGCAACGTTATCCTCGTCAGCTGGCATTTCATCAGCTGTTAACTTTTCCGGTGGCAAATGCTTTTCTATGCGTTTTCTCGCAACATAATCTTTTACCACTGTCTTTGTTTTGTCATCAATCTAAATCTCATACCAGGAGGAACTAAAAAGTTTGTAAAAATATGACATTTCTGGGGACAGAAGTGAAAGTTTCTTAACATGCTAATAATATAGTGCAACTGTAATTAATATACTATTTTCTAGCATTAATTTTTACTTTACCAACATCTAATGATAATTAATGACTTGTGATGTTAACCTTTATTGAAAACCAATATTAAGTTGAAATACTTACTTTGACCACTAATTTTTTTTCAGCAAGTGGATAATCGTGCAAAATCCTTAAAGCACGCATTGTACCGAAAGGATTTTCAAATTCGCAGAAACCAAAAGCTTGGAACTTCCCATTTGAACCTTGTATGCGTTTCCATGTTGCAACTGAACCACATTCCTACAATACTTACCAAATTACAATCTTTAATAAAATCAGTGATAAAACCAATCAATTTAAATATAGATCTTTCATAAAAACTAACATATAAGAAAAACATGGCACATGCGTTTCTACCTTCACGATAATCGATAATCGTGTAGCTTAACTTACTATTTATACAGTATAGATTATTGATACATGTTAATGCAATTTTTCTGATTTAAAAACTTATGCTTTAGGAAACCATACTACATAGAACACATAATTAAATAACCTGTGAATAAAAAAAATGCTTACCGTTAAAATAGCCCGTATAAGTTCGTTTCCACATTTATCATTTATATTACCAACAAACACCGTAGTGACTGGTGGTTTCTCAGGAGGCTGGAAAAAAAAAAATTCTTGATCTCAATGTTTTTGCAGAACACTTAATTTTTTTTTGAACAAAAAAAGTAGAGAAAAGTTAAAAATAATAATACTTTTGGTTGTGGAACTGTAGGCAACGTCATACGCTGTGCAGTAGCTGCAGCCACTAATGGATTTGGCATAAAGTAAGGGTTCGGAAAAGGCACTGCAAAAACTTATTATATAATTTGAAATACAAGATATGAAAGTCTCTGATTCTGATCAGAAATCTAACTAATTCCATTTTATATTACTTTTAGTAATTCAATATCTTGTTAACACCCTGTTGCATTTAAAATGAAGTTGAATGCATAAACCATTTCAAAATATGTTTTAAATATCTTCACACACGTAATTAATTAAGAAATATCTGTTAAAAAACTAATTCACTAAAAGTGTTATTTATAAAGTATGCTAATGTTATATTTTCATGAAGGGATGAAAAATAAGAACAATATTCCTTACGAGGTTAGCTGCAAGTGCATAACACAGGAAATCACTACATGAAAATAATATGACAACAAATGAAACTGAACGAAAAATCTGACCAACAAAATTTGATAATCTTCTTATTAAAAGAATTAACTAATTAAATATTTTATGATTAGTGTGAATACGAAAATGCGTACTAAGATGACAAATTTTAGCATTCCTGACATTCGGAATTCTGAAAAATTCAAATATCTCATTACTATTTGACGAAATCGCAATAATGTGTCAACATTGTACGTGTTAATGTATAATTAATAATTTGAAAAAAATCAAGTTCATTATCATTATCTCTAGGCACACAATTCACCTTACATGATATATAATTTCTTATAAGGTAATCAATAGTGATGCAGTGAACCCACAATTAATTCTTGAATAAGAAATTTCTAAAATATCAACGAAAACAAATAACAGCGTGGTTATTATGACCTAATTCTTATATAAATGAATGATACCATCAATATTTATACATCAATCTTTTCCAACTCTATAATTAATTAAAATCCGATAAAATAAACAAACAAACTTACTCATTGGCGCCATCGGTGGAATTTGAACACCATAAGCTGGAATCATTCCGGGGAATCTCGGTGGTACCGCCATCGAAGTAATTTCTAAACTAAACTTAAACGAAAAAAAATCATGACATTTAAATAATCGCAGTAATTTAAAAAAAAAAAACATATATTATAGAGGATTTGCATATAACAACATGCAACAAGCACACTAAGTCAGGAGAATAATCAACAATCTAGTCGTTATCAAGTTTTGTTCACCTTTATCGCACTCGTTGTGTTACACATCTTTGATATGGGTCCAGACCCAATATGCAATGAAATTGCATCTTTTCTCAGTATTTACGTACGTAAAAGTTCTCTGAGAATGGAGCAGATTTTCGAGTTTACTTACGCAAAGGATAGGCAGGATGTGAAGTATTTAGTACTTGAGTACACGTATTTAGGGAAGAAAATTTTCATAAAAAAAGGAAATTGCAAAAATTAATACTATTATATTTAAATTCTTGTAGTTTATTAGTGATGATTTATTCATTAGCATATGTTTTTAGTTTTCCAAATTATTTGATGTAAAAAAACAAAATTATGATTTAATATTAAAGATTATTGTTGCATATCGTTTTGTCGAAAATATTGCTTTGATTGTTTATCCGTGAACTTGACGTTAAACTTCAGTTCTCTATATATCAGTGTACACCAAAGGAGAAAGTTTTAGGTTTTGATAGATTTAAGTAATTTTACATTTGAATGTTTTATGATAAGTACTGATCATTCGTAAGTTCGTTTGAGCAAGAAATGGCAGAATCAAAAGAGTTCAAAAGTGGTACAGCATCGACATCAAAAATGAGATTAATTGAAAAAGATCCGAAATGGTGGGACATATCAACTTTCTCCAAAGAAGACAACCCAAATGGATTAATTTGCGAATCATCATTTGCCATAATGTTTCCAAAATATCGAGAAAAGTATATTAGGCAAGTACTATTTGAAAATTATCATTCTTTAATTTGCTTCTAGAAAGTATGATTGTGGTGTTTCCTATTTATTTATGAAATCTGTCTTTAAGCTTATTAAAGGCGTCATAATGTTTTTACGTTTTAATTTGTAGTGAAATACATAGAAGTTTAAGTGTTTAGTGAAGCGTCACTTCTGTTTTAGGGAGTGTTGGCCACTGATTGAGAAAGCTTTTGAAGAGCACAGTTTAAAGGTCGATTTGGATGTGTTAGAAGGAACAATGCTTGTAAAGACAACAAGAAAAACGTGGGATCCATATATCATAATAAAAGTATTTGTTACTTTTTTAGAAGGTTTCTTTGGAAGGTTCTGATATGTTAGGAATGTGTTTGGTATAATTTGTGTTTATGCAGACTTTCAGCAATATTTTTGTGTTGTACATTTTTTATTTCAGGCTCGTGATGCTTTAAAGTTAATCTCAAGAAGTGTACCTTTTGAAAATGCCATTCGAGTTCTGCAAGATGATATTGCGTGTGAGATCATCAAAATCAGTTCAATGGTTGCAAATAAAGAAAGATTTGTAAAACGTCGCGCAAGATTAATCGGAAACGACGGAGCAACCTTAAAAGCAATTGAATTGCTTACTCAGTGTTATGTTATGGTTCAAGGGGGCACTGTAGCAGCTGTTGGGCCATTTGAAGTTGTTTATAAATTTAATACTTTTTTAAATAATGTTCGGCATTCTAGAGCACAAAATCTTTATATGTCAGTAACTAGTTATAGCTTTGTCCTTTATTATCGATATAATTTAGGTAACATTAATTTTTCATGAAATTGAGCTGTCAGAAACTGTTGCTGAATTTATTTTGCTCGAAATTTCTCAGTTCATTGCTGATAACTGAGAAGTATTACATATGTCATATCAGATAAACATAAACTGTGTTGCTTGTGCTCGTTAAGGTGAATATTAGTGTGGTTCTTATAAAATTAAATTATTTTACAAATTTCAGGGCCTTAAATGTGTCAGAACGATTGTAGAAGATTGCATGAATAATATACATCCCATATACAACATCAAAACATTGATGATAAAACGAGAATTGATGAAAGATGAAAAACTCAAAAATGAAAATTGGGATCGTTTTCTTCCTAAGTTCAAGAAAAAGGTATGTAACATTTGCTTTATATTTTATATTCATAGCAATACCTGGTTTTGTAACTGCTTGATTTTTGGAATAACTATAAAAATTCATTTTATAGGTACAGTCTTCTGAGTCAACAAATCAAGCCAAGAAGAAGAAAGCTGCACGGTGGAAGAAAAAAGCTGAGTACACTCCGTTCCCTCCGCCACCCGTCATGAGCAAAGTAATTTTGTTTTGCTTACAATTTTTGTTAATAGCGAATAATAACAGCTCTAAAATAGCTTAAAAGTGGAAAATATTTTTTTAATTGAACTGCTTGAGAGTAGACAATATTTATTAAATCAACTTAATATTGAGTTTTGTTGTAGATTGACAAACAACTTGAAAGTGGAGAATATTTCTTGAATGAACGGATGCGACAAATGGAAAAATATAATGCAAAACGAGCTAAACAAGTATTGGAGTCACCGTTTTTACCTTTTTTTTTTATGTCTAAAAATTACATGATTTATGAAAAAGATTTCTCTGTACATTTTTTCTAATAAACTAAAGTTTGGCTGTTTATAGTTTTGCTTGTTTCAGACAGAAAAGATTACTGAACGAAAAAAACAGTGTGCATCACAATTTATGCCTCCAGAAGAAAAAGCAAGGCCAAAAACTTCTCAGAAACGCGCAAATGAAACACCAGTTGATATTGAAAACTTAATGAAAAAGGCCAAAAAAGCAATTAAATAAACTCTCTTTGTTAATATTGCTACTTTTTATTTTTAAACATTGCAATGTTTATTTTTCGTGTCTGCCTTTAATCTAGGAATGCTTTTTTAAATATCTCAAAAGAATTTGCCACTGTTTCGAGTATATCTTTTTTGATAATTATATGTCCTGTATTTTATTTCAAGTAGAATAAGACAACTCCTTCATTTTTTACTCTTAACTGAACATAGAATTATAGATATTTTCATGCGTCAACGTTTCAAAAAATTACATGTTAATTAGACTCTTAAACGTTAACTATATTTCATTGCAGTTGTCTTAGTTTTTCGGGAGTCATGAGGAAATAGGGAACTCTGAGATAAAATCAAAAATGCCTTAATTTTATAGGGTGAAGCCCTTTTTGAATTATTATTACTATGTCTTCATTATAATAATATTTTCACAGTTATTTTTTCATAACTAAAATAAAATTTAAGCCTTGTCATGGATTTTCTATATGTGTCTGTTTTTGCTTTTTAGATCAAAATTTAGTAAAAGTCGGATTACGAATTTTTTCTGTGGATTTTCACTTATACATTTATGAATGCTTTTGCGAAACTTTCGAAAGCTTCTGATTTCTTTTATAGCATTTTGTAAACATGTCCAAAATTTTATGATCTTTTGAGATACATTTAAGATTTAGATGTAAAAATTTTAATGCATATGGAAAATATAGTAATTATCAAACATTATACTAAATTGAAAGAGCCGTTCAGAGGGAGGCCTTTTAAATTTCAGTGAAATTTTTACCTCCCATGAAAACTTACCGAATATTTACCAATCATTGGACTTTATTCCTTCTCGTAGTGTAGTCTGAATTCCATTAGGAGTGCTAGTTTGCTGTTGAATGCAATAAATGGAAATCAGAGCATGAAAAAATTGTTCACCGATTAATTGGTATGAATGCCCAGGATGTCTATACTGAGATGTAATCATGATTTTTTGATGAAAGCGATAAAAATTGTGAGGAATAATTCACAAAGGCTATAGCAAGCAAGTTGTACGATCTTTTTTGCAAATTAGATACATTTTTTTGCAAGAATAAGTATTGTTTCTTGAGAAATAAATAATTGAAAGTTTCTGGAATTTTTAATTTGAGATGAAAGATTCTGAATTTTATAATGGAAGATGAATAATTAGATTTCTTAGCGCAGAAACATCTATGGAAACTGTTTTGGCATATGCTTTTTTTTTGCAGTTCTCTGAGTCTGAAAGTGATTTACTTCATAGTCTTAATAATGCTTACTTCAATCAGGAAAAAAGTCTTTGTTAATTGACGTGAAAAATGAATAGCACATGGATTTGAAATATGTTAAAGGTCAATTAATTATTTGTTTTTTTACGGGAATTAAAATTATGAGATAGAAAATGTAGATGAATGGTATAATCCTACATACTTTTCACTCAGTACTTTTATTTTTGGCTTGTTTAAACAAGTTAATTTTTTTTGGCATAGAAAACATAATATTAACAATAATAGCAGTGATTGATAATATTTTATTATTATTATCAATACTGATGATATAATACTAATAGTGCTAATAGTATAAATATTAATATGAGTTACAATATTAATTATAATAGCAGTTATTTTTATTATTAATGTATAATATCTGAAAACAATAGTTACAGTAAGGCTGATCTGTAATAGTCAACTTTCAATTCTAATTTTTGGAAATAACGTAGGAATGATAATAATATTCAGTGAAACAAAATAACAAAATGAGCATGTGCTTTCTCATGATCTTTGCATAAATGAACTTAAATTTTATCGTAGTAATATTTGTAATGATTTTTTATTTTATATTAGTATTATCACAATTATCATAATATTTGTACTGGAAAAATTTGTGATCTAAATGGGATTTTTTTCTTCATCATTACAATAGTCTATGCTATTCTTATATAAACAACATGTACGATTGAAACTTTTTCAATCACAGTGATAATAAGTTTTATTCGAGTTATTACCTATTTCAGTAATACTTGTGGTAATAATAATCATAGTAATCACCAAAGTTGTTATTACCGTGATTAATTTTGTTAGTGCTATATAAAGTTAACGTAAAGAATTGAAAAATAACTTTAGACAAGTGATATTTGAACGTTGCATTTTGAGTTTTAGTTGAAATACATTACTAAAAAATTTTATATGTAAATTTATTTTGGCCAAAAAATTTTGCATTAAAAATAAATATGTTCTTTGCTAAGAATAACTGAATGCTAGTGATAAGAACAAGTTTGGTGTTATCATGTTTACAAACTATAAATTTTTGTATTAAATTAAATTATATTACTTTAATAGCTTTTAGTTCTATAAATTTATAGAAAGTTGTAGTGATTATTATAAATGATCCGGTATTGATGAGATATGGGAAAATTTTTAAAGTATAAAAAATTATATTTTTAAAATAAGTTTCAAATAAGTGTACAAGTTTGTGAAAACTTTTTTGAAATTGATTTGTCTGAAAAATATATTCAAAAGTTTTATTTTCAAATTCTCGTGAAAAAAAAATCAGCTTAAAAGTTTATTAAATGAGTGAAAACTGATTTAAATCTGAATTGATCTAAATTTTATTTTCTTTAAGAATTTTGAATTATATCATTCAAATTTTGCAGTTTATCCATTTATCACTAATGATATTAAAGAATTTCACTTTATTTCATATTTTAATACTTTTAAATATATCTCAAAAAAACTTGGATTTTTTTGAATCATTTTTTAATTGCTTCATTTGCCACAGTAATAGTTCAAGTTTTGCTTCAAATTTAGAAACATTTTTAATTTTTTTGAATTTTTTAGTTTTTTTTTTTGAATTTTTTTTTATTTTTTTATTATGCAATCAGATATCCACTGCTTTTAAAAAAATAATAATTGGATATTTTGTAGACTCGAATTGCAATTTTTTTTTAAGAATTTTCTTCTTGAAATATTTTTTTTCGAATTTTTTCTTCAGTAAATGAGAGGAAAAAAATTTTTTTTCATAATTTTTTATCACAAAATATGGTAATTACTATTTCTTATTATTTCATATTAAATCTGTACTACAAATAAATACAGTTATCACTTCTTATTGCATTTGAATTATTGTAATTGACTTTTTTCATATTTTATCTTTTAAATTAAACATTTTTGAAAGTTTATTGCATTGAAATCACGTTTTTTTTTTTTAATTTTAACTGATTGAAAATTTTGTTGTGCTGATTTTTAAAAGCAAAAAATCAAAAAAAAACTTTTAAAAAACAAAAAATAAAAAATATTTTCTACTAATTCAAATCAAAATAGCGGTAAAAACAGCTGACTGATTACTAATAATTTAAATTTTTAGTCTTTTAACTTCACTTCAATGCATGAATTTTTTTACAATAATTGCTAATTACTAAAAAATCTTAACTAATTGCATTCATGCACATGCATACTTTTTTCACTCCTGTTGTGCTGATTATTATGTTTTTGAAATCAAATCAGTTATTAATAATTTTGATTGGGTCATTAAGCTCTTATATGTTTTTTAATATAGCATGCAAGTAATGATAAATTGTGTTAATGGCAGCATTTTTTAATTCGTAATTAAAATTTGAAATTTTGTTATCTAACAAAGTTTGATTATCATTCAATCTTGACTGCTGTTGTTTTAATTTTATTTATTATGAGGTTAATAATCATCAGCAAAAATTTTCGCATATATTTTAATTTCAATTGACTGAAAATTTTGAAATTTTATTCTAAAAATCAAAATTTGACCTCTGGAAAATAAAAAATAGATATGTTTTGATTTTTTATATCTTTACTAGCAGCTGAAGACTTCAGTAATTTTATGCAAATTTTAAAACAAAATATGCATGATAAGATTTTTTAATGAAGTTTCAATGAGAATAATTGTTATTGAGTTTAATCTACCTTAAAAATTTTGAGCCATCTTTGGAATTTCTTAGAAAATAGTTTTTCGTTTTTAATAATCCTAACTACCATTGTTTATATTTTTGAAACTCTGCATGAAATCTTCAAGTCTTTAATAATGAAAATTATGAAAAAATTTCGATATGTATTTTTTAAAGTCTTTTTACAAAATGAATTTATGCAAATTTTGCCATAATTGATATTAATTTACAGAAGGAGGATTAACTTTTGTGAGCGAATCATAATTAAAATAGCAAAACTCTAAAATAGTTTGTTACTTACTTAATGAAAAACTATTTTTAAGTTCCATACTTTCAAGGAATAATAATTTTTTTCATGAAAAGACTTAATTGTAGCCATAAAAAACAAAAAATGAGTATATATTTAATAACTTTGCAACAGTTATGCATATTTATTTTTCTATTCTTACAAATTTTTCTTTAATTTTTATTATTCTGACGTTTTAACAAGTGTATCCAAATCATACAGTGCAAAATATTAAATAAATTTGAAAATATTTTTTATAAATTTTCCGCAGTACTAAAATAAGCCTTTAATAATTGAGTTCCAAAAAGAAAACTAAAAAATCATTCCTTTTCAGATATTAAAATTAATTCATCAGAAATAAAATGTCAACTAAAGCTGTTTTATTATAATCTGCAAGAATCGCATTTGATCACATAATTTAACTCTGATTTTTGTTTAAAACTTATTTTTTAAGCGATAAAATATTAACTAAAACTCAATTTCAAATATATATGTATATGTATCAGTTTGCTATAATAATTATTTCTTGCATTAGTAATCAATTTTTCTTGGCAAAAATTTGCATATTCATAAAAAATGCTTTACAAGCTTAAATTGCAAAAAAAAGCATGAAAAAATTAAAAAATCAGAAAATATTGGAACTTATGAAAAAATTTTGAAAAAAATGCAACAAATTGAAATATAAACTAAAAT